AAAAAACACTTTTTAAAGATATAAGTTTATATAATACTAACTAAGTGCGTTTGTAAAACGACACATGGATGAACAAGAGGTAGCGTGACGTGACAAAGCGTTAAGTGATCGATGTTCGTCTTGTAAGGCCACCGTGATTGTCGTATATGTGTATTTAAAGGAGATTTCATCAAGTATTCAAGCAGCACGTGCTAAACACGTGTATTTGTTTCTTATATTTTTCTCCTACTATTCAAATAATATTACAAATAATTTTGCAATAATATATTCAATAGAATTTATAGTAAAGTCAGAACTGTTAAAGTATTTCTATATGAATTTAATTTTTCCTCAAAGAGCCACTGTTCTGTTTTTATCTTTACAGACATAAATAATTCTCTCTCTATTTTAAAAAGCATTATTCAAAGCTACTGCTTCTTTTGCCTAAAATAATCGCATCACATTATACATTTCTTAGAAAAACAATTAAAATATTTAAAATAAATATGAGAAAAATTCGAATGTCAAATAAATGCTTCATAAATTTTTGGTTTTCTTTATTTATTTGAAGCTTTCTAATATAAAATACTATCCAATTACCAAATCAATTATACAATAAATAATAATTATAAAATTAGTAATTAGTAAATATGATATAAATAAGAGATCTATTTGCTTGCAATTATTTTATAAATTGTACAAAAATTACGTTAAAGTATTGCTAACAATTTGATGAGAAATGAACTTAATTTTGATCTATTAGCCTGTATAATTTTTCACCCTACAAGCCTATTAATATATCATTCAATTTTGTAATTCTTAGTACGGCTAAATTAAACGACCTGTGTCATAAATTAACACATTTCCGCAAGAAATGAAGTCATGCGATGCATGGGAGATACAACGAGGTCTTATTAATCTTTTGTGACCATGTAGCCAATTCTATCCTCACAGATTAACATTAGGTATATCAGTATCATTTGAGCACGCAGTCTATCCTACGTAACGGTGCAAAAGTTCTTTTTACATGTAAATGTAATGATATTTGCAACTCGCATTGTATATAAATTTAGATGCATATTGAATAACATATTCTAATTAATTATTATTAAATGAATGCAATAAATGCATTAACATGGTATGATAAAACAAAAATGCGAATAATCTTGGTATCTAAAAATGTGCGTTTGAATTGACTCAACCATGAAAGTTATTCTATATTTCCCAAAGGAACAATTCCTCAAAGACAACTTTTTACTTTACTTTTGCGTTTTTCTTTTCTCGGTATTGGAGCAGGTATCGGTCCGTTTTAGGTAATAGACCGTGGATAATGGCAGCCTATTTGACCTTCGGTTCTGCAGCCGACCTGCTGCGAATTCACAAATTCTTTAAAAGAGAGAATTCTTTCAAAGAGAATATAGGTAGCTTTGATACTTTCCCTGGAATTTCACATTAGACAAAATAGAAATGGAATTTTATTGTAATTATTTCGTGATTGTAATATCTTAAAATTAATATCTCTTTAATATGTGATCAAAAAGAATTAGGCTTTTTGTTTGATGCCAGTTGATTGTATCTACAACTTGTGTACAAAATCTTTATTTCATTTATAGTATTTGTGCTATATTTACATCTCCCCAAATAATATATTAAAATTTTATTCAAGAATGTTGTCTAGATTTACATTGAAATGCAAAATAAGTACATAATGTTACTATTACAAAACTTCACCTTAATTACAGGCTTATGACGATTGCGATATTTGATAAATAATAATCTTTATCGTCTAAATTAAAGATCTCTTATAATCTTTAATTTAACTGTATCGAGTCGCTCCGAAAGAGATAAAGACTCGTCATTGTAGGTGGATTCACTTATTATCGTGGCACAAAAGCCGCGTGAGTTCCCTACGGATGCTGCGAGCCCTCACGTGGATTTCATTTCAGGATCGCATAAAATGGTGTTAAGGGGAAGGGGGAGGAGGCAGAAAGGGGGAGAGGACGATGGGGAAGAAACACGAGGGGAGAAGAATGGAGCTGCGGAACGACTAGGGGAAAGAGGGAGAAGGGAAAGATGCCGGCTGGCAAGCAGATGGTTGCCCCGTTTATTGGTTTATTCGTCGGTTCAGCCATGACGTTCCGTCCGGCCATGAAACAAGCCGGAGATTCTCCTTGTGTTAGAGAGTATCAAGCAACGAGGCTACGACTGCTCTTCCTATTAAAACGCATCCGCGAGCTACTTACTCGCGTTGTATGTAAGTAATATTCAGCATAACCGTAGCTTGAGGCTAGCGGTATAAGTTCATGTCATATGCAATTTTGTTCATTCATTTCTCCAGTCATTTTATTCACTTTTACAACATTTATAGTAGTCGATAATGCAGTACGAGAATGATTATTTTATTTGTTAATTATTACAGCTCCAGGAACAATATTACGCTAATGAATATGTCTTCACGAGATGCGCACGAGTGCTCGCTGCCACTTGCATACGCATTATTTATTACACAGGTAATTTAATGCAAACTTACGCGTTCATATGCATAACGAGAAAAATGTACGCACAATACATAATATATTTATATTTATATATTATTCTATTCGTAAATATACGAGAGAAATTCAAAAAGTTAAGGCACATTTTTAATTACTTAAATAAAAAACATTTTTTTACTTTTTGACTTATCATCGTATAACAGAAAATAATAGTCTACTACTCGTGTTTGTTAATCATAACTTTCTAATAAAATAAAGAATGCTCTTGTTTTAGTTTTTGCAATCTACTATAATAGATATTTCTCTTGTGTGTATATTATTTACATTGCATGCATGTGTAATACATACATCTTGTAAGAAATCCAATTATTTGACTATAGCTCTTTTAACTCATTTAGCTTACGAAACTTTTAATGGAGTTGAACAATAGTTCTTATATCGAAAATTATGCACAACAGCGAAGGTGTAGGAGTTTCGATGGCGGTGCACAGACGTACGTGAATATATAGATGATATTCAGTAATGGCGTCCTGGGGGCGGACGAAATGCTCGCGGGTCGATAGAAGGAAGGCTGCCTGCCTACGAAACCCAAATACACTCTCCTCTTATTGCCGGCGATCATCCCCACCTACAATAGGCCTTTCTATGATTATCAACAAAATTCAAAATGCAATCAATTATAAAAGTAAGTACCATATAATTTTTTTGTTTTATTTAATAGAAATGAATGTTTGGAGAATAATAATATATAAATATATGTAATTTTTAGAAAATGATAAAAGGTACACAATACACAACTCTAGAAAATTTTAGAGTTCAGCTATTACAACGCATATTGGTAAGATCAATTATGAGATGGCACGAAGTTAGAAATAATTAGTAGCCAAGTTTATTCATAAAAATAAAATAATTATAATGTATTATTGACGAGAATTTAATATTGTTCAATAATTATACATTTTACAAAGACAATTTATTTTATAAAAATAAAAGTTAGGTATGAAGAGATATTGATAAATTCTTAATAAGAAAATTCCAAATTTAATTACTTTGACTTTATATTATTATTAATCTGTATTTATTAAATAATTTATATAACTTTACTAAATATTAAGTAAAGAAACACTATTTTGTCAGAATATTTATTGTAATATAATATTTTTTAAATTTCTTTTCTTTTCTTTAATACATCCGACAACACAGGAGCGGTTTGACTTTCAAAATGTGTGCCGTTTTAGTAGCTAAGTGCACTATTATAAGCTGAAGAATAACATTTTAAGTAGTCAGGTATTTTCAGAATTCTTTAGGTCCGGAAAGACCCGAAATCTCAGGTCCGGAATCTCAGGTCCGGAAGGCCTGAAAACTACATGCTGTTATAAGGGGATTATCATTGATCTAAGATTAGCTCTAATACTTATAATACTTTCAAATTTGTTAGTTTTCACAATAGAAAGGAAAATTGACTTCTATAAAGACCGTCACTTTTTCTATGTGCATAATGGCTGCGATTTACGTCAAACTTTTTGTTGATTTATGAAAATATACTCCAGTATAATATATATTTTTATTTTACCATAAAATATTTTATCGTCAAGATGTATTGTTCACAAAATATATTTTATATTGTTGTAACAATATTTTCGATAAATATATCTCATTTTTTTATTAATTACATGCGAATGACCAGTGTACGCGACATGACCAAGTAACCTGGAAATGAAAGGTACGTCGACACAACGTAGAGGAATAAAAGGAGCTGTACCGCTAAGAAGACGAAGAAGAAGAAGAAGAAGGAGAAGAAGAAAACCAAGGAGAACGCGACCTTGCTATATTCAGCTGTGTCATCCTTGAGCCGTTAACGCTCAGGTGGTTTCGATCCCAGGGACGAGCATCAATCATCATCGGTAGTGCAGGTGTAATGTGATCATTGTCACTGAGATAACCCAGTACGATATTCACTTACGAAGCGTGTCAGATGACATAACAGAGTTATCTATAACAACGTATCTAAATACTAAAAGAAACGGCTGCAATATTTGCCCCTCGATGGCGTTTTTTGTTAGGGCAGGTCTTTGACGAACGAAAAACATTAAGAAACACTCATCCATTTGCGTGGAAATATCATACGCCAGATCAAGGCTGCATTTATTTGTATTTATGACTTAATGTACATTGAAAATTAATACGAGTTATGGAATTGCAGAATTGCATTATAATTTCTTGCATTTCTTTCGACTAAAGGCAAAATAAGATTATGAAGTATAGCGATACAAATTGATATTATCTTTGTATGGATAATAAGACATAATGCAAAAATTGCATTAAAAGTATTAAATAAAAATAGAAGCAATGGCTAATCAAAAGAATGATGATGAATGGCAGTAATATTGAGAAGGCAATGCGTTAGGAAATTGAATCATGTAAGAATCGAATTTATAACAAAGGAGAAATTTACTTTCACTGGCACTTATAGCTTTATAGAAATTATTATTATTATAATTATTTATAAAAATTATGTTAGAAAGAAGATACAGCATTAATGGCGACTATTTTTATTAATTTTATATTTCTCAGGATGAGATTCTTGAAATTTACGCAAAGTTTGATTGAAACAGGCTCTGTCTTACTTTCTTGAAGAATGACTTGGCATATTCAAGTTATTTCCATGTGACTATGCACTTCATAAGTTTGCGAGCATGTTAATATAAAATTAGTGATATTTTATTACTTCGATGATATTTGTACTTAAAAACACAAACATGGCTAACACAGCATAAATTATTTTAAAAAATAAAGATATGCACATAAAGAGTTGCGTTGCAACATCGATAAGACATACATTTTCAATGAAACTCTGATATTTAAAGTGATATTTGTATGCGTAATTGAATATAGAAAACGGACAAAGTTATGGAAAGATATATTTACGGTCAAACTATGGAAACTGATATTAATAGGGAAATATTTTCAGATTCCTAAATGGTACCTGTGAAGTCTACTGAAGATCACATACTGGGCGGACAAAGAAGTTAAGACCGGCACGTATGTTAAATATTTTTAATAGATAAGAAAGTAAACGATATGCGAACGATGTGCCGTACAAGAAAGCCCAGTTAATGCTCTACATCTACCCTGTAGATCCGAATTTGTTTGATAAGAGGCGACAAATTCGGTTCTAGAGAGGTTTGTGTGGTGTATACAAAGCAACAGTGATCTTTGAATGTGTGTTGATAAAATTGAAAATCATGCTATTGATGTATTGTGAGCATCAAATATTTAAATATTGGATGTATCAGAATTCTTAAATGCAACACTGTGCGATAATTATGACTGTAACAAAATTTATAATTTACATTAAGTAATTACAACAAGAAAAGCTATGAGAATCAAAAACGCACATGTTGGAACGCAAAAAATATTATAAATTATACAGGAATTAAAAAATTTTTATTTTAGTTTTTTATCGTCTCAAAGAATCACACGTTACATGTGATTTAAATTAAGTAATTATAAGAACATTGTATCGTATACATTACTTTACAAAAAGAAACACTTTTCAGAGGCATAAAATTGGACAACTTTCAAACCGTTAAAATTCAGCAAAAAATTAAAAAAGCATTTCAAAGCTTGAAGTTTATACTTTTATGCGCTTTTTGAAAATTTTTCATCGTTACACTTCTATGTTCAAAAAAAAATATTGTTTTGTTCATAAAGTTATGTACGTCCAAACTCTGCAGCTCAACTCTGCAGCAAAAGTGGCATTACTCGGATAATAAAAATCGTAGCAAAATTTTAAAAAACGTGTTATGTAGATAAAATGTTGTAGTTCTTGGCATAAATTTGAATTTAAAAAAAAATGTTTTATTAAACTACAGAGTATTGAAAGCACATGTTCTTTTTCGAATTTAAAAGTAAAAAAAATTTAGTAAAAAATAAAAAATTTGTAGAAAACGGAATAAAAAAGCATGTAAAAGCTTTCAAAAGTAAAAATTTCAAGCTCTAAAGTACTTTTTCAATTTTTTATTTGCGATAATTTTTGCCGAATTTCAGCAGTTTGAAAGTTGTCGAATTTCAGCGGTTTGAAATTTTGTTGCATCTGAAAAATGTTTCTTATTTTTATAGAATAGTGTACGTTGTTTGATGAAAAAATCGATATCTCTCGAAGCAATTATTCTAATCTAAAATAGTAAAACTTTGCACGTGATATGTTGATGAGAAGATAAAAAAAAATAATGACATAGTACAAAAATCATTTATTTTAAAAAATCTATGTTACCTATTATTTTGTAAAGTCAAATTTTATAAATCTAGAATTATTTTGTGTCAATTTTTTTGTCAAACAGTGTGTATGTATGTGTGTGTATATGCATATATTTTATTTTATTAAATTATTTTATAAAATATGTACATTAAATTTGCATATGTACTACATAACTGTATAATTGGATAAGTACAATTAGGTCGCTAGAAGTAAGTTTTGAATGCAGTCGTGCGTATTATGAAATTATTAATAGCGACGGAAAAGTAATGCGAAAAAGAATTAATGAACGTCATTACGCCCATGGACTTGGTTGCATGCATGTTAGTATACTATCGATGATGAACTGCTACGTCTAGCGTGACCTGTTGCACATAAGTTCACTCACACATTGCATTAAACTGTACATTCTCCTCGTATTTTATACAGGTAGATTCAAATTCTACTTACACAAACAATATTTTAATTTATTTTTCTCTAATATATAATATAATTTTCTATAATAGTGTGCAAAAATCTAAATAATTATATATTATTGTTAAATTTAGCTACGTGAGATTCTATGGCGAATAATATGTCATGAGGATGTTTAGTCTTCCAATTTAAAGAGGACGATATATTTTTTTTCTATCTTGTATCTTGAATTATATTTTTACAACGATTATTTATCAAATGCACATCTATCACATGCGGATGCACGATTTCTTGAATCTTTCTGTAAAGGCTGAGGCAAATCCATTAATCTCTGATCGTGTTCATATTAAAATGACATGCCAGCCGTTACGCAACTATTCATAAGTGCTAATGAAGTGCATACACAGGTGTAATTACCAATCGAGTGGACTGCCCACTTTTCACTCCTAGCATAATCTAGTGGATAAAAAAAAAGAGTGATTTCATAATGACACGACGGGGAAAAACGCTGCCGCCTCACATAAATCAACGATTTCCAACTGGCAGTTCGCTGGTAGTTTGCATAAAAAAATTTCTAAGCGCATTAAAAATTTTCCAATTTCTTACAGCATCTATTCGGATTTATATAATTTTTACAATAATAAATAATGTATATTATTTTCTTGAAAATAGAACAATGTGTTTTGACCTCCAGTGGTTTGCAGTAAAAATGTATCATTGAAAGAGATTCACAAAAGAAATTTGGAAACTTAATAAACAAAATACCAAAGCATTAATCAGTTAACGTTTTACGGAAGGTATGTAAAAATATAAATAATTAATCAACAAACTGTAATTAAATGCAATAATTACAAAGATATAATTTTACATATATTCTTTTGCTCTAGAATATGTTATTGTACTTTATTATTTTATCTTTTAGTGTAATAATTATTTACTTGAAACAGATATATAGTAAAAATATATAGAAATATATAACATGTGCAGAAAATCTGTATTGATTAGTTGTGGAATCAAATTTCCCTACGATACAAAGTTTTTCTGTTTCATATTTAGTTAACAAATTTTATAATATGTAATTACAGTTGTTCATTATTAATGTAAGCATTTATTTAGAGACAACATAAATTACATACTCGAATTACAATAATAACATATAATTATTAGTTCTTAATTTATCAGTTATGTTTTTATAGTTAAATTTAATCAATCATTATATTAATTGGTTCATCACGAGTAAATATCCAATCAGATGACTTGATCGTAATTACATAGTTAATAAAAAGCATAAAAAACTAAATGAAATTGAAACTGTCGACATAAATTATTTTTTTTGCAGATAGTAACTTCATCATCTTGAAAACAATCAAGAACAGTGAATAAATTTTCGCATATAAACAATATATTATTTTTATAATGTGTACTGAGACTTCTTAACTTTTTGTAGGCAAGAGAGATAAGCAATTTATTACAATAATTAGCAGTTATTAAAATTATCTTTGCGTTTAATCGTGTAGAACGGATCGTCTCCGTCACTGACAAATATTCTGTTGAACTCTGTGTTTTAATGATTGATGATCACTGTTGTTTAATAATTCCAACTCTGGTTTACTAATAATGTAACGTACATGGAAACGATGTGAAAGATCCAATCTCATTTAATGTTTTCCCCGGTGCGGGAAGCATCGGTATCGATATACACGCAAGACATACTCCACTCCGGGAGTTATCGCTCCGAACATCGGATCGCAATGTTCACCGGACGTTCACGTCATCGGACTCGCCATTCTGGTTCTAGTGGCGTTCCTCGGATGGAGACAAACGGCCGCGCGCCGTAGATACGGTTGGACGCGTTTACGTACGTTTCTAGAGATCCTCCGCGCGCGCGAAGTCTCGTCTCGAGTCTAAATCCACATTCGAATGTGCGAGAAAACATAGCAAGATTAATGATTTGTGTGACACGAGGGAGAGGGTGCGCAGACCGTCAGCCTGCCTGCCAGGCTGCTCGGCCGCCGACGGCGGCTGCGGCACGGAGCGCCGCAAGGAAACGCAAACTGCGCGGCAATAGCTTTGCCACTTTTCTCATAGTACATTGTCCGTATTTCTCCGTCACGCAGCAGCAAGCCGTCTTACGAAACTATTGACCCGATTCTATGGATTCCGCACCACTTTAAGTGACGTCTCTCAATTGATCGGTGGGACCGGTCGGGAAAGTATCTTGTACGATTTGTTCTTATCTCGTTTTATGTAAAGGAACGCATTCGTTTTTATCTCATATATAGAGTCATGCGCTGTGTTCGGCGCATACGTAATATTCAATTTATGAAACGAAATAATCGGTTCCGAGCGATGTAGTGATTAAGATAACGCGGGAGCTGAAATAGTTTTGGCGTTCACTTGTAAGCGTCGGATATATCGCGGGAGTAATTGCCAATTTCGTCTGTTGGAGAAAGCCCGGCCTATCTGTTGCGAGAAAGAGAAAAAAAAGATGTTAGAGGAAACAATATCTTGGTCACTTTTTGCAATATGCTAATTATGTCAATTATGAGTTATATCTATCCTACTCCGACTTCTAACACGCGGTTATCTGATTAGTTTTCGTAAATTACATCGTTCCATATTTTCTTTGTACTAATGATTGATGAATTCTAGCCGATTAACATTCCAACTTGACACGAGGCATTCATTAGCTGCCTGGATTGTGGCGTGTATAAAAATAAGAACCTTTAACTCGTATTAGTAGTAGATCGAATGCATTCTCTTTGATATGGTCAAGAATATTTATACTTCTTCATAATTGCATTGTTTTAAGCTCGCTTTCGGTGATTTATATTCGCGATGAAACTTAAGATTTATGACGTAATAAAGAATATTTGAAGAATCGAAATATACGAAATACGTATCACTTTGTATATGTGTGTATTCTGAATTTTTTTATGTTTTTTGTATGACAGGACACATAAAATTATAAATAGAATTTTATCTCAAATTTTCTCGCAATTTATAGATTACTTAAGATGGATTTTGCTTAATTTTTTTCAATTAAAACGGAAAGAATGTAAAAAAATCCTTCGCACAAACAATACAAACAAGGGCATTCGTTCGACGGATTTGTGTCTCAATAACTGATGGGATCTCTTCAATCAAGTAGAGGGGTCCTTGACGGCACTTCAAACGTCACTACGTCGTCGCAGGAAATGAGAAAGGACATTAGATATGCATAGGCACGCTCAATACATTCTACACATAAACCGTCATTCGATTTAATATTCTCGCGCAAAGTTGCCAGCGATCATCGTCTAATTGAACGCACGACCGTTCCACATTAATACGACTGCCGAGTCCTCCTGCAACTTTGTTCATGATTCCCGTCTAAGCTGTCAGATTAATACAAGGTATGTGAAAACTTGTTCCGCGCAGCGGAGAATTATTTACGACGCGTTTATATTCGAGATAGTCCAGCAACACGTGAAATCACGAACGGCGCGGTTTGACTGGCGGTTATTTGAACTCGGTATCTCAAAATAGTGAGGTTGGCACGTCCATCAATTCAAAATTGTGATCTAGAAGGTATAACGAATCTACAGACGATAAGGCGCGCCGTGGCGTAGGTCTAGTCTGGTAGATGTACGGAGAAGGAAGGCAGCTTTTGATGCCTCTGGCCTTCGGTCCAGCCGTGCATCTTGTATCGGACGCGGACAGAAAGAGGTCGGCATAGATCTGACGCCCGCGATGAGCGCCGCTGCGGTATAATATTAATGATGACTGGCTCGCCCCATGGAAGAGGCTGTCTACTTGGTCTGTCCTGCAGTGTCCTTTTTCTTCAGGCACGGATGCACTTTCTACATAATCGGTTTATGCGCGTACTTCATCTATTAATTTGTCTGGCGTTGATAAACTTCCAATTTATACTCGAGGGTATTCAACTTTTTTCTTCGCAGTTTTATTTGCAGTCGCAATGGCATTCACGGTTTTTATTAATCATCTTCTAACATAATTAAAGGGAATTAAATCTCTTGATTGTGTTTCCCACGTATATCATTTACCAAATTGTATTTTAGATTTCATTGCGTAGGTAAACTACAAGATCGTTGTTCAAAAAAATTTCTTACAAGTTTATTACTCTACAAACTGCTTCGCCAATTTAAATAATATGCGCAATTTATATATCTTTTCAAAATATATTAAATTCAATTTATTATCAGGATTCTTTTCTCTTAAATAAGTATGTAACCGCAAGAAAGAATTTTTTTAAGTAACGCATTTTTTTATAACACTTTTTACAAATGTACATAGTTTTTAAAGTCTATTTTGATTGCAGTAATTAAGTTTCCTTCACGATTTATAAAGAAAATCGTTTGCTATCTTATGAATTATTCTCATAGGGATCCTTTATCAATATGGCGGAAGAACCCAGCGACTTTGGAGAATACGAACCAGGCTTGAAGGCGTACCCCGCGGGGTAAGATGGCTGTGGCCCTGACCACCTGCTGCCTCTTTGATTCTGCCGCTAGAATCTCATTTAGCCGTGTAATCCCGATGTTCATTGACGATGGATCACCCCGTCCGCCGAGCATTGTAAGTGTACTAAAACATTTTACGTCGTCTAATACATCATCGATCGAGAATAAAGAGTAGATCGGCAATGCGCGCTGTTACCAATACCGGAACATCCGGTTCGACAAAGAAACAATCCGCACGGCGAAAGGAAACCTTGTCAAGGTGTCTTGCTGGGAAATCATAATATCTCTGAGATATCGCACGAGTATAAGAAAGAAAAGAGAAAGAGAGAGCACGGGATAGCTGAAGAACATTTTTAAGAGAGCGCGACGCGCGAATAACCATCGCCATATCTATATATGTATACTTTCTAGAATGTAGATATATATATATTTTCTACGGCATCTAAAATACACGTGTGTGCGTTGCGTGCACGTGCTCGTGTGTGCATATTCATGATGTTGCATAAATTTCTTTTCCAGGTAGTTTTCATGTATCTCTTGGAGTAATATTTTTTGTAATACACACACACACACACACACACACACACACACACACACACACACACACACACACACACACATGAGAATACTTCAGTAGTATATTTTATTATAATTTGCTAGCAATAACTTATGAAAATAGAAATTTGAAATACATATCCAGAGAGATTTCACTAGATTATAGCCCGTAGATTTCTACCGCTGTGCGAGAAAATTGCGTTATAATACTGCATAAGCTATTTTGGTGCAACGTAAAGAAATTGAAATATAAAAATAACGATGTGTGTATATTCGTGTGCAATAATATTATTTCATAAAATAGAAAGATAGGATTTCGGAGAGAAAATTTGTTACAGTTATTTTTCAAGTCATTTTTGCAATCGAGAATATAATTTATTTCTTTTGAATTTTTAAAGTTTTAATAATTACATTTTTTTATGTTTAAACAATTAAGAGCAGTTAATATGTCATACGTATCTTAATGCGCGTTTTACTATGTCACATTGTTAGCAAAATTGAAACGATGATTAGCAATAGATACAAACAAGTTTGGCAATTATAGAGGAGAAGGAGCTGACATATAATTGAAGTGTTTAAGGTGATGAGTTATTAAACGCGGTAAATTGGCATCTCGTAGTTCTCGATTTCCGCAGAAGACAGTGATTCGGCTTTCCTGACTACCGACAATGAATAGACACTGATTGTTTGCGCCGTGTCACGGTTTTAGAGTCGCGTTTAATTCAATTTGTGAGTGCCTTACAGTGCTGGCCTTAGTCATCGTGCAACGCGCGCTTTATAGCCGGCTTCTTGCCTTGAATAGTTATGAAATAAGAAGCTTCTTACTTTGCTTCAATTCTAGACGTTGCTATCGATACTGCGCAAAAATGAAGAACATCAAACGAACAATGCATGAATAATCAAGTCGCATGCATTGTTAAAATCTCTCACTAGCTATGATTATGATTATGAATAACTCAATAATTCAAATGAGTTTCGACGTTTGAAATACATTTTTTGCGACAACGCAGAATGTAAGAGAAGACGAGATTTAATTTGCAAAGGATATGAATAAGGAAAAATTGGACCACCCAGAGATTTATCGTCACTCTTTCGCACGTTTATCGTCACTCCCTATTTGTTTATAAACCCCGGATCGTCGAAGAGTAAAGCGAAAGAAAATCGAAAAAAGAGAATTATCGCCGGAGCCGCTGCCTTGCATCTTAGCCGCCGCGGAAAGGCAAAGCCAATGATTGCTACCACAATGAGACGTGTCGACTGAGGATGCCGCTCATCAAGTGAATCAGCAGCAAATAGTAGCGGGCTAATAAGTGCTATTATTCCGTCGCCGTGACGTTATGCACGTGATACTAGGTACGTAAATACGGAAGAGAGGAGAGGAGGAAGCGAGAAGGAGGTACTGTTACGTCGATACGGACGAAAGAGAGAGAAAGTTACTGTTAGGCGCTGAACTCCCTCGTCCAGCCGCCGATGACCAAGCAGATTCGCGCCCAAGTCTAGACTCGGGCGGACCGCCGGTCATGCACCAGTCCAGGTTGCCCTAAGCCACGCTTGAATGGCTATCCACGCACATTGGCAGTCCAATTTCACTGCGCGGTATTTGGAACTTTTCACCACGGATCACAAGAATAACCGGTATTATTAATATCGATCCACCATTATGCCCGATCAAATAATGGATTCCGTTTCTAATCTTGGCGTGCCTGATATATGGCAGGATCCTCGTAAACATCATTTTATAGAGAGGCATTATAAGTTTGATGAAAACGCACTCTCACAAGTGTTTATGCCTGCCAATTAATATAGCGTTTTAAAAATGAGAATATTTTAAATAACGCTGATATTAAAGAAAGAGAGAGAAAGAAAGAAAGAGAGAGAGAGAGAGAGAGAGAGAGAAAGAGAAAGAGAAAGGTCTATCCTTCGGATGATAGAAAATAAAAAGATACTTACGATGATCTCAGCGGGAAAATTTTCAGATATCATTTCTTTGTGTCCACGCTGATCGTGACGCGCGCATTATATGATTCTACGTGGTCCTGCGGCAACCAGATCACTCGGCATTATCTCTCGACTATTCGCACAGAATAGCGTAATAGCGGAGATACGAATAGAGGGAAGGAAACGCGGAGCCGTTGGTGACCATTTCTCGAGAGTTGCAGTAGAGACGAGAAGACGAGAAATGCAGAAGACAAGGATAGAGATCTGGATGGAAGAGAAAGAAATAAAGAAAAGAGGAAAGAAATGAAAGGCTGTCAGAGCTACGGAGAGCGGAATAAGAGAGAGAGAGAGAGGGGGGGGAGGGAGGGGGG